CGGAGTTTTTTCCCTCACGTTAAATCTATAATAGTATTCCTACCAACTTCTGCCCTGATGCTCCACTTAGGAACTGATGAAGTCTCTTGCATTGCAGGCCTCCGGACGCAACACCAAGTCCGCCATCCAGCACGTCCAGCCACCCATACCTGACCTCCTCCTCCCCCTACCCCAACTACCTCACGGCTCCCACAAATCACCCTTCACTCCCTAACTCCCTAGCTGCTCCCGGCTCCTCCCATTACCTGCTAGGAAGGCCACAGCAAAGCTCCCAGCCTTCCCCAGCCCCTGGGTACACCTCCTACAGCGTCATGAGTGGTTCCTCCAGGAGACGCAAGCTGTGGGCGGCAAGCAATGAGTCGGAGAGTGAGTGCAGGGACTCTGGTTTTACTGATGGTGAGTCGCAGGAAGTGATACCACCACTGCAGGTACTCAGGATCTGTAGGAAGTGAATCACAGACAGTGAATGATGAGTCTCGTACGTTAATTTGTATAGCTGATAGTGAGTAACAGAGAGTGAATAATGAGTCTCATGTGTTACTAAAAATTAAATAATATCAGTACCGCACTGCTTCATGGTGAGTTTTTACTCGTGTTTTACTCCTGGTGAGTCAAATGCGCTGGATGAAATTATCAGGCTTGTACAATCTAACAGCTTTACAGTGATTGGTAAAAAAAATGAGCATCGCACTGAGGGATCTTACATTCTAAAGTCCCCAAAATGCAAGACGCATGATGATCTGTTTTGATGCTGTCATCCCTTGTCAAGTTGAGCATAATTTTTTGGCGGTTTCAACTTAATATAACCATAAACTAATTATATTGTGAATGTCTGCACTTACTAGATCAAAAAAGCGCCATTAGGAATGAAGAAAAATATTTTGAATCAACTGTTTTAAAGCATTCATTTGTGCTTCAAGAGTCGGCTCCATTAACTGCATCATCTTGATTGCGTTCAAAATTCAAGCAGTCACTCTTTGAAGATTCTTATTGTCGGGGGCCTTACTTTCAATACTCGTTTGAATACTAATAACGGCTAAAGTACACGAAGCGGTCGATTTCTCATCTGTGATTGGTGGGTTTAGCCCGAAAAGCCAACATGTATTGGCTGACTAAGTTACGACTTCGTAAATCCGTTTTTTTGTTTCTTTTATAACGAGTTGTAACTCTAGCGGCCAATTACTGAAGACATCTCAAGTGAAGCCAATTTATCACGGACAATAAATCTTACGCATCGTGTACTATGGACATCTTTTAGAGTACGGCCCCAGTTTGCTGCCTGAGAGTTGAATGAAGTACTTCAGAGATGATCGTGATGTCAGGAGCGCCTGTCGTGTATCTTGAAAGCATATTTGCATGCTGCTTCCATCTTTTCGGGGTCCTCAAAATCAAATTTTCTCTTCAATGTAATCCCCGAAAAACTGAGATTGAATATTTTGGAATTTCTCGTTGTGCAAACATTATAATCAATGCAACTCTTCCTCCTTTATTTTCTGCTTAACCACTCAGTAGCCGCGCCATCCGGTCTCGTCAAAAAGTAACCATGCCATCCGGTCTTGACAAAAAGTAATTGCCTTGGTGACGTTGTTGCAGGGCCGCTGGGCAGCGACATGTCTGTCGAGGAGCTGCCGCCCTACGAGCAGCAGCAGCGGTCCCGCCACTACTCGGCGGACTCTCGACCCTCGTCGTCCGCGGGGGGCGTGGTGGCTGCGGATGAATCCGGACGCATAGAAGACCGCCAGTTTAACTATGCGTCTTCGTTCACTCCTAACTACGACCAGAGGAGGCTTAGAAGAAACCGATACAATTATCTCGATGACTTTGACTCGTACAGTGAGATGGACTGTGAACAAGGCGACAGTGCGAGCCTCAGTAGAGAACGAAGCGATAGTTTCATCTACGTTGCATATCCACCTGAGGTCAAAAAACGTTTCCATCAAGACCAGCGATGATCAGTCTATGCAGGATTAAATGTATAACGTTGTTATATTTACGTAAATGCATCCAACATTGCATGTTGGTGCTGCAGTATAGGATGACTGTGGATAAGCTGCGTTCGTTTCTCAGAGATCAATAAATAATTGATCCATAACAAGGTTCAGGCATCCCTCCCTAGTAGCAGTTAACAATTTCTTATTAGCATTGACGAGAAATATGCTTTGGTAGCACTGAATTTTGAAGAATATACTGCGCGGTTATTCTTTAATACTGCAATATCTGCGTGAATGTAACATAAATGATAAAGATTCTAATAGCATTACAGACAATAAGGCCACTTGCGGTCTAAAGTGCAGAGATCTGTGACCAGAGATGCAACCAAGAGACCGAGACATGATTGTCCTTGAATGCAACCAAGAGACCGAGACATGGCTGTCCTTGAATGCAACCAAGAGACCGAGACATGGTTGTATGGGTTTCGGTTTACAGAGGTTATGTGGGGTTGGGTGTGAAGGGATTGCGTAGGGTTCGGTCTGCAAGGGTTGTATGGGGTTTGGTCTGCAAGGGTTGTATGGGGTTCGGTGTGCAGAGGTTGAGTGGGCGCGTAAATCTCATTGCGTAGTTGAAGCTTCTGTGATCCTAGACTACGGAGGATAATATTGATAATTGAACTGCAGCAATAATCTTTTCCTTGTGGCAAATTCTCCAGAGTTCAACTTTTTTGAGCTTTCTTTAGTGAATTTAAGAGCTCTTAATCAATTTTTAATAATCAACGTCTTATAAAGTTATTGAATTTTATGATGAGTGTCTCAGGTTAAATTTCTAAGTGGAAAATTTTTCGAGCTCAGAAAAACTTTTTTGCTCTTGCTAAGTTTGTATTTTCCAAGCTTCTATCTCTGCACAAATCTTGTATTCACTGTATTACTGCCTTCCCCAATTACTTATTGATGTCTTTCTTTCTGCTTCACTTACTGTGCTATGCGTGAAATTTAAAGTACGGATAGTAATACATTTATTCCTGTATGCAATGAATGATTAGATGATTAGGAGCGTGATGCGGAGGCATTTGTACGGTTGTTCTGTCAATGGGTTAGAACGAGCCTCTTATTTATTCGTTTTCTTATATGTTTAATATTCTTTTCTAACTTTCATCATTATTTAAGTTCTTATAAAATTTAATCTCGTGCAAGGCTATCTTTGGTATCACCTCAGGCACACATTTTGCTCTTTCTTTCACTGACTAAATTTACAAAATTTCAATTTCTGTCGAGAGTGCTTGAGCGTTTAAAGGATATTTACTCTAAATTACAGTAAGTTTTTGATTGTTTTCAAGTTACTTATCTGGGTGATAAAATTGAATGAAGTCAAATAAGATTATTTGGTTAACTAATCATAGTTAGCTTCTATAATGTAAGTGTTCACTTGAAATTAAAGCTTAAAATTTACGCTATAAATTGAGGCAGGCTTCAAGAATTCATAAATATAGGATCTCTTCATTCNTCATTCATCATTCACTGAGTAATGAATCAACCGTCCCTCGCTCCTCCAACTGCCGTCTTCATGTCACGTCTCGTGCTGCCGCTTAAAACTAAGAAATTTGAATCTAAAATTTAAAAAAGTTAATCTAATATAAAAAGGTAAAAGCCCCAGATTAGGTCAAGGTAAGAATTTAAGTGATAAATAATTACCATAGGTCATTGAATGTTCTCGTACACCGAGCGTGCTTGACACGCCATATCACTTCACTGCTATTTTACAGGGTGATTCACGGAAACTTCCTGATTTGAAAGCTCAATAAAGAAAGAATTGGTAAAGATATCATTACCATATAAATTTTATTGAAAAAAACATCATTTTTTTTATCACTTAGTTTGAAAGATAACATCGGACAAATGAAGGCCCCCATTGTCAATGCCTTCAGTTAATTGATTTTTGAAGTTCCGTTCAAGGCGCTGAAGCATATTGATGAGTATGTGTGCAATGGCTTGGCGTATGTTCTTCTTCAAATGAGGTAGGGTCCTTGGAGAGTCACTTGTAAACATTAAGATAACCCTTTAAAAAACACACGGAGTCAAATCGGGGAATCGGGCTGGCCAAAGAAGGTCAATTCTCATAGAGATCAACGCGAAATGTTGAATCAGAAATGAATTTCGCAATGCGAAATGTTGAATCAGAAATGAATTTCGCAATGCGAAATGTTGAATCAGAAGATCCATTGAACATCACGCTGTGTGGGCCGTGGCTCCATCCTGTTGAAACCAGGCATTCCTGACATTAATTTCAGCAAGTTATGATGAAAAAGTCAATCATTGTCGTGTATACAGAGCTGCCGTCACCGTTGCTGCGCGTTTGTTTTCCTCAAAGAAATAATGGCCAATTATGCCGACTTAAGACACCGCTATCAATTGGTTACAATGACTGTCGAGGCCTTGCCCAGGATGATGATCATGAATGTATGAATCATTCTTGAATGAATCATTATTAAATGAATCATTCTTCAATGAATCACTCTTCAATGAATCATTCATCAATGAATCATTCTTCAAAGAATATTTTATTTCCTGTTAATGATGCACTACTAATTGGCATGTGTATGGCATACGTACGACTCATACATTTCTCCATTGACTCATACATTCATACATTGAGTCACATTCCTACATTGCATTCATACGCCTTCATATATTGGACCAAATTGAGTCATGATCTTGTAATCTCTAAAATATCTTAGGTTTTTTCGTTTAAAGCTACTTTAGTATTTAAGATTCTAATATTTTTGATAATTTCGTTGTTTTTTAATCAATTTATTCAGGATAATTTCGTGTGCTAATCGTATTTTATCGATCAAATGGTTTATCTTTTAGAACAAAAAAAGTGTGCAATTTAAGACTTGAATTGTTCAGGTTCGCAGGGCGGTATTATTAAAAAAAATTAAACTTGATGAAATATTTTCTCATGTCCATATTATTCATGTTTATGACTTTCAATGCAATCAAAAGTATTTATAATTTATTTTTTAATATTTAAAATTTACGCCTCACAAATGTAGTCTCATTTCGTATTGTCCTCAGCGGTTATTCAGAACCAATAACAACACCGAACTTCCATTATATCAGCCAAATGACGTCGAAGCAACGTTTAATTAACGAAGCAATAATTAATTCAACGTTTAATCGACGTTGCTTTGTTTTGTTTTGCTGGTTTGAATAAAATTTTAAACCATTGATCGTTGTTTCGTTGAAACGACGTTTTATTCAACGTCGATACTAATGCTATATGTTAGATGAGAATAACAAATATCATATCAGAAATCGTAGTTGTGTATTTTGGTAAACTTCATAATTGATGAGACAAAATAATTACAATTAGCTTAGTATTTGTTGAATATACATGCTTACTGAACTGCATGATTGATATATAGTGTAATTGACGAAGTTTATGGTGGTAATTGTGGTAACGGGCCTTGACTCTGTCAAATTCGCTGAATTTTAATAATGCGACCTGAATTAGTTAACTTTATTATGATTAATTACTGTTAAATTTAGAAGCTATGCACTGGTAGCAGTAATCGACGATTTGCAAATCACTACAATAATGGATAATGATGAAACCTCTTATTGTACTCATTGGGCATTACGTTCTTAAATTTATTATTTATAACGAATACAACGACCACTAAAAAATCTATAGAATTGCCTTGAATTAACGGAATTATCATACTAATTAAGTTTGAATTTAAATGCTTGATCATATAGCAACAATTAAACAGCAAACGCTGCAAATAGTTTCAGTTTGCGTGGAGAAATTGAATGCGAAAATTGAAATATTTCACTTGATGTAGCTCAACAACAACAAAGCTCAGTCGGAATTTCTGTCATTGAGAAGATAATCTAATTCTAAAGTTATTTAATACTTGTACACATGTGAGGATATTCTTCAGATTCTACTTATCTTCCCGCGTTCTTAAAATTGCCAAAAAAACTTGCTCCCTACACGCATTAATAAAAATTAACAGAAGCTGTTGCGGTCTTTGGGCAGGGTTGAGTTCATATCTTTAAAGGAGGTGCGAGAGATAAACCACAACAAATTACAGGCCAGTGACATTAACATTATCATTGTTTTCTTTAAAAGGAAAACAATTTTCATGCATTAACATCACATGTAATCGAGAAGTTAGGGAATTTCGTTGTCAAGCACTGTACGTGGAGAGAGATGACCTTTTCAACAAAAGACAACTAGGTTTGGGTTCAGACTTCAAGAGGGCTACAGCGTAGCGAAGACTGCCATGAGGTGGGGCGGGGGAGCTACAGTGTAGCGAAGACTACCATGAGGTGGGGCGGGGGGCTACAGTGTAGCGAAGACTGCCATGAGGTGTGTACCGTTTTGCACATTCCTTACAATAACCTGCCATATTATAGCGACAATTTGATGATTTTTCCGAAAGAAACTTAATCAATCTGTTATCCTAGGTGGGTAATAAACAGTAGACTAGGTAGATATTTAAATTAATGATCAATTGAATTGATCCTATGCGCTGCCGTTTGCCTGTTTTAAAATTAACATGGACTCCCATGCAGCATGCATGGGAATGTTATAATGTTATAATATCAATTATAACATTAATGCTAAACACATCGTTAATTGACATTTTATTTGCATATGTAAATGTGACAGGTGATATTAGATGCACAACAAACAATATCATTATTTACGAAGAAAATGATACCACGATCGAAATAATTTCAATTATTATCTTTATTCCTGTTAAATGATTGCAATATTGTGGCGAAGCCATAACGTGAACGATTTTTTTCTAATGCTGGAAAAGTCGCTCATAATCTTTGCTCATTAATTAAACGCGCATTTTGCTAATCAATTTATGCCACTAATTTATATTCTTACGTAAGTAGTCGACGCAGTCCCAGAGCTTTAGGCGGCAGAAGAGGTAGAGGCACGCGTCCAATTTCACACACAAGACTTAGTCCACATCCTTGATCGTCCTCAGCCAAGGCGCTCTCCAGCATCAGCAGCTCAAAATGTTCGAAATTTCGCGCCCGGGAGCCATCTTCACACAGCACCTGCTGGCGACCTTCAGGAAATCTTGTTTTAAATTTCGGTGAATCTTCTTGACGCGATTCGGGAACCGACGCTTTTTCCACGGCCGCTGAAACTCGCGCGTGCTTTAAACGTGAGTACAAACTCTCACTTTCAGGTGTAGGACTTCTTGGTTCTGGCCAAACTTTTAACAAGGGTTTCTTTTGACGGCTTGGAAGTCCAGAAGATAAATGGATTATTTTGTTCGCCTCATGTGGATCGTCTGCCACATTGATGGGCTGTGACGTCACTACGATGGCAGCTTTCGACGACTCTCTCTTGATTCTAGGACCTCTAGACTTCGTGGGATTGCTCTTCTCTGGTGACTCGTTCACTTCATTTTCTAGAACTTCAATCATTTTTGAGTTACTATCCTCTGTTTTATGTGTATTCTTTAATTTTTTTCCCTGGTTGATTGTGTCTTTTTCCCGACATGAGCTACTGACCGATTGGGGTGCAGCAAATTCTTTGGTGTTCAACGAATTTTCTTTGGTTTCCTTGTCTGTGGAAGCTCGACGCTTCCTGCGACCGCCATATGCTAGGGGCGCGGCGTAAACTCCTGCAGTGAAGCCCGCTCTAGAACGTAAAATATCACTTATACATTCTATACCTAATTATATTTTAAAAGGCGTAAAATTGTTCCTATACTGTTATATTTTACTTAACAAGAAGTGCCACTCTAAAATGGGAGGTAATTAATGGTACCGCAATTATACGATCAACCTGAGAGCAGAGATTCAGTGACTGTGTAAAGGATAAGTATGACACATTCTATCTTAAAATCATCGTAACACAGAGTGGGGAGTTACAGTCATTACAGAGTAACAGATTCACAGCTGAGACCTTCGACTGGCAGGTCAGAGTAATTCCTACAATGAGTGCTTATACATCGCAGCGGTTGTGCACTGTGTAAACATGGGGGGACTTATTAAAATGCCCCGCCCTTTTTAAAAACTTTCTGCTTCCGCCCACAGAGCTCATGTCCTCACATATAAACTGAGGTTCCAGTGACTGAGGCGACTGAGGTTCCAGTGTCACAGAGACTCAAAATTAAAGCTATCGAGGTCTGCTGATAAACACATGAGGATTTACACATAAAAGCTACTCACTGACAATTCTCAACCATCCATCCACCGTGCTGAACCTAAGCAGAATTTTAATAAATAATTTTTGTTTTCGAACCCCAAACTCGCTGCTTCAATCTTGGTGATCGAAGCCACTGGGCCAGCCCAAAATTGAACTTGAACCCGAGCATAACTTAATAAGAAATTTCCCGGACTCCAGCCATGCTGTCCCCGACTCTAGCCATGCTGTCCCCGACTCCAGCCATACTGTCCCCGACTCTAGTCATACTGTCCCCGACTCTAGCCATGCTGTCCCCGACTCCAGCCATGCTGTCCCCGACTCTAGCCATGCTGTCCCCGACTCTAGCCATGCTGTCCCCGACTCTAGCCCTGCTGTCCCCGACTCTAGCCATGCTGTCCCGGACTCACTTGTACGGCTGGTAGTAGCCGTACTGGGCGTGCGTGTTCTGATAGCCATGCTGACCGTACAGACTGGTCGGGTACCTGCGTTTATAATTATTACTCAGAATAATTATTTTATTGATTTTACATCGTGACTGTAATTCTAAAGCTCAATGTGAACATTTTGAAGGCTTTAATTTTTTTCCAACTTTATGTTGCCGATCTTTTTATTTTCAGGCGGTACACTGTTTCGAAAAATATTACTTGATAATTGTTTCCGTTCTATATGTATGGTGCTACTTCTATCATAACAATCGTTGATTAGAATTTGCATCGCTCTTTTCAAAGTATTAACAACTGCTTTTGCATCAGCGGGCTGCACTCTCCGGAATTAGGAATTATTTATGATTATCTATCATAAAAAGAATCATCAACTCCTAAATAAATCGACCTCATTGTGATATTTTTCGCTATAACTTTTATTTACGCTGATGTAGAGCAAAGCAAACTGTGGTGAAAATGTGTCTGAGCTCGTTATATCGCATCAATGTTGAAGGTGTGAGGTACTTTAACAATTGTATAACCAACCTAAATAATATTTTATTTGAACTAAATTGTAAACAACTAAAACTTATCAGTCGAACTATCAAAATTACAAATTTCAAAGCTCAACATTTCAAACATACCAACTCTTAATATAAAAAGATAACAACAAGATATGAGCTATACAATGTAGCCTTATGAAAGTATTTGTAAATATATGAGATATAGAATGTAGTCATAAGAAAGTATTTGTAAATATATGAGGTATAGAATGTAGTCTTAAGAAAGTATTTGTAAATATATGAGATAAGGAATGTAGTCTTAAGAAAGTATTAGCAAATAAAAGTACCCATAGGTGCCATAGTTGTAATAACTGTTCGGTGCAGCCTTGTTCATGCCAACATGGCGGCCGAGGTAGAATGACGCGCCTCCTAGAACTGCCAGGGCTCCTGCAGGGATAATAAATATGCGTTTTAATTAATCAATTAATTAATATATATGGTTTTAAAAATTACCTTTTAAAGACAACGCTTCTAAAGAACTCACTGTCTCCGATGTTGCACATGTACAATGAATTTACTATTTTATTTAAAAATATTTTTAAAAAAGTATTTTTTTAATATTTAAAAATATTATTATCTAAATAATTTATTTTGTCAATTGATTCAAACATTTTCTCCGATTTTACGCAAGTGTGCAAAATTTCAGATCGATTAGACAGGTAAAAGTGTATTAAAGGTCGATTATAAGATTTGTACCAGACAAAAAAACAAACAAATAATCATGAAGTGAAGTTAAAGAGAAGTTTTGTAAAAAAAAATTAACATCTATCAAACTTGTCACCTGTCAGTGTACTCTTAGAAAAATATATAGGGTTAAATTGTACAAATAGTGACACTTTCATATCCACAGCACGAACAGAGTTAACATGGCAGTGATACGCACTTTTGCCCGGATGAAGTGGGTCAAAATGACCCAAACAAACAGAAACTGCATCGTTCTATGGACTAAGTCCCGCTCATTGCTCTGTGTGTAATGGAGTCTATGGACACATTCTCGTGCGTCCGTGTATGCACTTGTCTAAATATTTCATGTGTAATAAAAGTAACGGAATTTACTTCCATCCAATGTTGAAAACCTGTCAGATAATCAACAGATAAAATGTTAACGAATGCATTCAGGTGACATTCCGTTAAATTATTAGTTAAACCGAAATTTCGATTATCAAAGCCTGTAAGTTACTTATGAATTTTTGGTAGTCATGGATATGAGAGTAAAATTATAACGAAAAATGATATTAAAGTCGCTAGCTCAGGTATGTCAGTTGAAGAGATTTAGTGATGAATCTACTAGGCAGCCTCTGTAAAATGTAGCCTTATTATTCCTCTAAATTTGAAACTAATTCATAATGAAGCCGTCATTATTGTTTTTTATTTAACGCCCGCTCAGGAATCCAGTCCCTGTACACTTGTAAAGGAAGCCAGGCGAAAAAGTTACCCTCTCGCACATCTAATAACTAAACCGTGATGACAAAACTCTAGCTTCACCACATCTACAAACTAAATGCAGATGAAAGACACCATATGTCACCATACCCATCACTAACCCAGGGTGAAGAACACCATATTTCACCACACTCATCACTAACCCAGGCTGACGACACCATATCTCACCATACTCATCACCAACCCAATCTAAAGACACCATATGTCACCACTCCCATCATTAACCCATCTGGAAAATATATACAGATATTTCACCACACGCATCACTAACCCAGGGGAAAACACCATATTTCACCACACTCATCACCAACCCAATCTAAAGACACCATTTGTCACCACTCCCATCATTAACCCATCTGGAAAATATATACATATTTCACTACATTCATCACTAACCTAGGCTGAAGACACCTTATTTCACCACACTCATCACTAACCCAGGCTGAAGACACCATATTTCACCACAGTCATCACTAACCGAGGGTAAAAAGAGCCTTGTTGTCGATGCCCAAGTCAGCGAGGTGATGCCGAGCCATGTCGCCAGGCAAGACCTGAGGTCGCCCTGGACCGGACTGCAGCAGCAGCATCAGAACCAACAGCGTCACCAACGCCTGAGTCACGAGAAAAAGTTCATTGTGTAGAATGATATACTATACAAACTTGTATTTCATACAGTTCTGACTAATTAGACAAACTATGTTGGGCAAATTGTCATGAGTAAGCGGCACCAGCGCCTGAGAAAAGTTAACGAAAGAGAGAACGAAAAGATGAAAAGAGAAAATTCCTGGATTAGCTCATTTGGTGTAGATATTATGTACAATGATATATACAAACTTGTACTTCATACAGTTCATACTAATTAGATAAACTATGTTGGGCAAATTGTCAGGAGAAGCCGCGTGTCAAAATAGTTGATTGAGCTGCATGTCAAAGTAGTTGAAATACTACGATTATATTTATGATATTTTCATTCGTTATTTATCGTTTATTACTTGAGACTTATACAACTAGTACAACTAGTATTATTTTATTAAATTATACCGTCCTCTAAATCACGAACTTTTAAGTGACCGTTTTTAACAGATTAGGAATTAGTAGCCGCTAGTCATAACTCATCAATACGTAATTGTTTTGCAACAAATACTTCGGCGTCTGATTCTAAGACTATATATTTACCATGAGAAAAATCTTAAATGCTGGAAAGTTTTTGTCTATTTTATATATGATTGCATAATTAAGTTTATGACATTCCCTAATTAAACGTGTATTGTAAGCGATGAACTTGGCTAAGACTGAGATCTTAGGAATCGCTACTCGCATCTGACACACTGCTCCATGGAGGGACACTACACTCATATAACACGCTGCTCCATGGAGGGACACTACACTCATATAACACACTGCTCCATGGAGGGACACTACACTCATATAACACACTGCTCCATGGAGGGACACTACACTCATATAACACACTGCTCCATGGAGGGACACTACACTCATATAGCACGATGCTCCATTTAAAAAGTGTGTGTCCCTCCATGAGGGACACTACACTCATATAACACACTGCTCCATGGAGTGACACTGCACTCATATAGCATGCTGCTCCATGTAGGGCTCTGAACATTCGTCTCACCTTGATATCCATGCTGGTCCTGAATTTTGTCCTCCAGTTTCGGTCTCCACTCAATCGTGATGTATTAGTATGCGAGAAAATACAGCTAATACGCTAAATTAATTAATATAATTCTGTTTTGATTATTAACAAGATTTAGAAGAGTTATAGCGGCAATCTAAATCGAACTGTCGATCAACTTGATAACCAAACTGGACACTGTTGAACTTATAGACATTCCAATTACAAATAGCACAGGTACAAGTTTAACTGAATCATGGCAGTGCAAGTATCCGACCAATTACTAATTCATTTGATATTCTTGTGCAAGAGTCCGGTTTTGCCTGCGTATTTTCGCGTTAGGTTAATTGTTTTCATTATATGGATTTTCGGTATCGCACAAGTGGTTACCTTCATTTTGGAATCTTTTAACTTACTGTTTCTTTAGAATATATCTTCAGAAATCATTATCTATTTACAACAAGCACTAAATTTCTCCGAAAATGTAAGTTCTCAAAAATGTAAAATACTTATTATCTTGATTGCTCAAACATATGACTTTTAATGATAATAATAGCTGTTTCAGCGTTTATTAGGCCGTAGGCCTGTCGCCGATTCTTAACATCGCAGAACACAGCATTTTGAGGTCTCGAACTCGCAACTCACTGCTACAATTCTGCTGTGCTTAACCGCCCGGGCGGCCGGGCTGAACTTTAACCACTGGGCCACCCTGCTCAGACTTAACGTGCAGTTTTTTCCTGATCGAATACAAATTAACGTTGATTCGCAGCCGGGCGTTCTTCAAAGCATGTCACATATCATGCATGAGTATATGGATGTTTCGGTTATCTCTCTGCTTCCGATCATCACTCATTAGCAGCGTATAGATGATTCATGCATATTCATAAATAAATAGCAATGTAAGAGGTCACTGATGCATTGGTGACACCGTAAGAAACTTCTATAGTCTCAAACATGAATTCAGGCCTCGTTAAATAGATTTTTACAGGATATGACGCACTGAAAAAGCCTTGTTCATCTCAGTAACCACAAGTTCATGACAGAACACAATATAGTAAACTTTTTCGACACATTGTCGTTTAACTCAAACATTAGTACAAAAAGCAGAGGTGCAATCAACATTTCATTTATGAATCGGAATGATTATGATAATTATACTGTTGCAAATTTTGGAGGTTTGTGAGAAATCAATTTCTTTATTTTACTGCAGTGATTTAATTGAGAATCTGTAGCTCAATATTTTACTCAGATCAAATTCATTCTGATAGGTGTTCAAGATGCGGGTAAATCCTACATACCTAAAATAACGTGCATCTCTTAGCTCTGATAACATAAATTGTTTCAAATGCAATGTAAATAGTGCAAAGCTATTATAAAGGAATAGCTGAGTGATAATTGGTCAATAATCAGGCAAAGTATTTCCGGGCTCCACTTATCAACTTTATCTCCGCCCAACTCAAGCAAACCCATCCACAATTTTCACTTTTCTTTTAGTTTTGTTAAATTCATTTATTTTATTCAGTAATCCACTTTCGTTGACTGAGACCGTCAATCGATGAAGCTGAAGCTTCCTTCGATTTATTATTAATGGGCCTATTTCTTCAATGCCAACACTTCTATTCGTCCCCGACTGGTCAGGACAGCGCGGTGACCCGGACGACACTGCACTGACTGCAGCGCTACAATGGCTGATGCTGCGGCCTGAGATTCTCGAGAACAAGGACGACAATGCGAAAGGTATATTGATGATGAAATAAAAAGAGATCTGAACTGCAAGATAATTGTTGTGCCGTGAATTCTTATCTTGAAACCAGAAATTCATCTTAGACAGAAATACATCAAAATATAAGAAGCTCATAATTCTGTCACTTTGGAAGTTGAGATTGCTTGGACTTGACTGTCGTGGTGCTTGAGTCACAAGTAGAAAGAAAACTAACGTTAACGTAACTAATCTTCGGTGATTAGTTCGTCTGAAAAAATGCAAACACTTTCACTTGGAAATGTTTCCCGCCAATCTGATTCTGACGAATATACCACATGTAAGTTAGTAACTTATGGCATTTTATTATTTATATAGCGTCTTCTAGCGTGAGACTCTGACTGTATTTTGATCAGGCCTAGTGAAGAAGTATCCTCTAAACAAATATATAAGAAGGTGTAGAAAAATGTCAGTGACTTTGGCCATACTTGATCCACTCCGGGCAAGGATTTGCAATAAAAACATCTTGCCGGTAAACAACTAAATCAAAAGAGGACTGTGGTCGATACATTAGTAATGACGTTTTATATTACATCGTAAGATAGTTGAAATTGATAAAAAAGCGGGCCATATAGTTCTTGTGAAGTTTCTGTGAAGTTGTGAAGTTTCTTGGCTGTGAAAAAATATTTCTATGTATAATCGTTATAATTGGACGTGTGATGCTATAAGACTCCGTACGACCGTACCTCATGCAGCATTGATTTGAAAATTAATTTCTTATTGAGACAATTAATAGTATGAGGGCAGGGAATTTTTAGCATCTATTCAGCTCCTGAAAACAACACTTCTTGTAGGGAGACAACAAACACATTTAATTTTCAATGCTTGCTTTAAGTATTCCAGTTTGCAACATATATTAATTGTAACCCAGAGTCAATATTTTGCTTATATTAAAGCCTCATTTCACGAATAACAGACACAAACGTTGCCCGATTATTTTGGCTGTTGAAAACCCCCCACGCACATATATTTGGAATAAACACAGCATGAGTATAAGATGGTGTTTCTAAAAGTAATTTATATTTAAGATTGACTTATGTATGTTCAAATTAATAAAAAATAATTAAATTAATGAGTATTGCAGGAATAAAATACGGCATGGTGTGTTCATGCGACGCTCGCTTTGAAACCTTCTCGTCGAGCAGTAATTTCATGTTGCTGAATTAATACCAGTAATTTGTTGTAATTAAGTAGAATCAATAACAAATTATAACAAACAAATAACAAATACGACGGAAAAGCGCGGAGACTGACGCAGGAAACCATTTGAATTGCACAATCTTGGGTGAAAGTTTCGTATTTTTGGCCTTGAAAGAGAATCCTCGGCCCCTTGACAACACAATGCGGGAGGTCTTTAGCGTCGCAATTATGGCGTGTATGCAAGAGTAATTAACAGGAATGGTCCATATGTAGGACACGTAAGTGGGCGGAAATGATGTAACGGCGAATGCATGCTAACTTACTTTAGTGTTCTGCTACTTATGGAATGGATTTGATAAAAATTTTTTAGGCAGATTGGTAATAAATTAGGAAGCTTGCAGTACAAAACTAGAATACCCTAATTCGAGAACTCTCGATGAGCATTTGTTCACAACTTCTTCTTTCATGAATTCCACTCTTTACATTTTAATCTGTGTGACGCTTTTTCCATAATACACGCTAAAAACCAGAAATTAACTACATCTTATTGATAAGTCCCAGGTTATATTTCCATATAATATTACTGTGTTGGTCTAATATTGTGCCGTTGGTCTTATGCCGTGCTGGACGTTTCTTATCTAAACTGTAAGTGCCTAATTTTATGTTTTATGAATTTATGCTCTTTAGTGTCTTTGATTCAAACTGTAATTTTTCTTTCTTTTCTATCGGGTTTACTCTAAAGAAATACCAGCAAGAGGATACGGGCCATGAGTTGTATGCTGAGACTCATATATGGAGTTTAATTTATAATCGGGAAACAATACATATCTTGTTCTGATGCTACAATTAGAACCGTTTCTATAGCTTTCATATAAGGCAGATTCTATTCCTCTATCACGTCAATTAAATAAACTCATTAAATCGCCTGGCATGTATAAGAACTTCTGAACCATAAATTTGTTGTCGATGCCTTTCCCCAGCTCGACACGAACTTGATGAGACTTCAGAGTAGAACAATTATGTTTAACCAGCACACTGCGGGGTTGTATAGTTTTCTCCATTACATATTTTAATCATAACATCGTCATTTATTATTATTTACATAACCTCATTTGGGCCTCTTAAACCATCATGAAACCTTAACTTCAAAAAGAAGAGAGTCTTGTTGAAGAGTCTGAGATAAATGCTGAACTGAGAGAGTCAGTTCAGCATTTATCATGCGCCACGAATAAAGAGAGCTTTGCACGAATACTACCGATTCGACACTTCAGCGAACTCGCGTGCGAACTCGCCTGCGAGCTCGAACTTCATTTTCAACTCGCACTCATAACTCCTTCAATTATGAACGGATTTTATTCAAATTTGAAATATAAGTAGATAATATCAGTACGCTGCGGCTACTTATATTTCAAATTTGAAGAAAATCCGTCCATTATTGACGGAGTTATGCGTGCCAGAGTTGAAAATTAAGTTAGGTTTTCCATTCTAGCTCGCAGGCGAGTTCGCACGCGAGTTCGCTGAAGTGTCGGACCGGTACGAATACTACACATGTGCTTATGTGAAATTCTTGCAGGAATTTATTGTTATCATGATTATAACTTGGCAAATCAAAACAGTTGTCTCTAGCGTTCAATTTCTTAAGATTTGTAATTTGTTAGTCGCAGATCGACTGTTAAATAAGTTGAGTGGTTAACGTTTAGACTTTAGAAGTTTAGAGTATCAGGAATGGAGCAGAAACGTGCGGGTTCGATCCCAGCTTTGTGCGCAGAATCTGCCAGGAGGCCGGGTGGTCGGGAAAAGCATAATTGGAGCATTGAGTTGCGTGTTCCAGACCGCAACAAGCTGTGAATGTTCGGTTATGTTGAGAATAGGCGATAGGCCTATGGCATAATAAACGCTGAAAACGCTACATATCAGATTTATTTTAATTAAAGAAATTTAATGACCTTGAATTTGCTTAATATTTGTGAGACTTGCAGAAACTCTGACGCAAATGATTTGGAATTGTTTCAACAGCGCAGAAAAACTTACTGTTCTATCTAGAGAAACCAAAATTAAATATGTTATACTATAAAAATGCTTAATTTATTTAAATTTAATTTTTATTTATCTCATTACTCCGCCAGTTCAGCACATATTTTGCTAAATTTGCCAGTCCTATAGAATAAAAGTATACTCATCTGAATGAATAAAACAATTGTACAATACAAACCTGGAATATGAGGTTGAACTGTCTGCTCCGCAAGTCTTATGCTGAATATGCACAAGGAGCTATAACTACAGACCGGTCCGACACTTCAGCGAACTCGCGTGCGAACTCGCCTGCGAGCTAGAATGGAAA